AGGGGCTCCAGGCTCCAGGCAAGTCTGAAATCCTATAGGGTAGTTATTAAATCTTAAAGTTCGAAATTATCTCCTTTGACTTCATGTCTTACATCCAGGTAACACTGATGAAAGGGGTAGGCTTTCACACGCTGGCGTTGAGGGGCTCTGGCTTTTCCAGGTGCATGGTACAAGCTGTTGGTGGATCTACCATTCTGGGGTCTGAAGGACCGTGGCCCTTTTCTCATAGCTCCACTAGGCAGTGCCCCAGTGGGGACTCTGTGTGGGGAATCTAACCCCACATTTCCCTTCTGCACTGCCCTACTGATACAGGAGATGGTCAGGGAAGTACTGGGTAGAGAAGGCCAAGGCACGGTCCCTGGTGAGGGCTCCACCCTTGGGCCTGTGCCCACAGACCTAAGTGAGGATGGGCACTCCTGTTTTTACACTCAAATATTGCATTTTCTAAGATCACTCTGGCCCACCATGTCCCCCTCCTGTGCCCATGTGAGCCTAAGACACCATAGTAGACATAAAGTAGCTGGTCATCTACAGGAACACATTAGCAGGAGAATACACCAACACAAACCAGCAGATGCCGGCAGGCCATCAATGATGGTACAATGTGGACACCAAGGGGAAGTCAGCCAGGACAGTCAGAGAAGGATCTGACCATTGGGTGGCCTGACTCCAGGGGAAGACCACCTTCCCACTCCATTCCCCTTCTGGCTCCCTATCCATCTGCTGAGAGCTACTTGCACCATTCAATAAAATCTTGCCCACATTCTCCAAGCCCACTTGTGATCTGATTTTTCTGATTCAGTAAGGCAAGAACCCAGGATACAGAAAGCCCTCTGTCCTTGTGATAAGGCAGAGGGTCTAATTGAGTTGATTAACACGCAACTGAAAGAACACACTGTAACACAAACCTCAACTGGGGTTTGGGAGCTGTAAACAACCCTAGATGCTGCCATGGGGTTGGAGCCCAAAAAGGCTCCCCATGACCTGCCCATCTGCATGCTTCCTCTAGGAATTTGAGTAGCAGGGCACCAAAGAAGTGAGCCAGCTCCCTGTTGCACACCCTCTGAGGGGGCTAAGGGAATACTCCTCCTTTTCCAGTAGCAGATGTTCTCTATGAGGCCCTGCCCCTGCAGCAAACTTCTGCCTAGACATACAGTGGTTTCCATATATCCTCTGAAATCTAGGCAGAGGTTCTCAAACTTCAATTCTTGATTTCTCTGCACCCACAGGCTCAACATCATGTAGAAATTGCCAAGGCTTGGGGCTTGCACTCTCTGAAGTCAGGGCCTGCACTGTACCTTGGCCCCTTTTAGCCATGGCTGGAGTGGCTGGGACACAAAGCAGCAAGTCTCCAGGCTGCATACAGCAGGGGGGCCCTGGACCTGGCCCAGGAAACCATTTTTTCCTTGTAGGCCTCTAGGCCTGTGATGGGAGGGGCTGCCGCAAAGGTCTCTGACAGGCCCTAGAGACATTTTCTCTATTGCCTTAATGATTATCATTTGGCTCTTTGTTGCTTATGCAAATTTCTGCAGTAGGCTTCAATTTCTTCCCAGAAAATGGGGTTTTGTTTTCTATTGTATGGTCAAGCTGCAAAGTTTCCAAACTTTTATGCTCTGCTTCCTCTTAAATACTTTACTGTTTAGAAATTTATTCTGCCAGATACCCCAAATCATCTCTTTCAAGTTTAAAGTTCCACAGATCTCTAGGGCAGGGGCAAAATGCCGCCAGTCTCTTTGCATAGTAAGAGTCACTTTTGCTCCAGTTCCCAACAAGTTCCCTATCTCCATCTGAGACCACCTCAGCCTGGACTTCATTGTCCATATCACTATCAGCATTTTGGTCAAAGCCATTCAGAAAGTCCCTAGGAAGTTCCAAACTTTCCCACGGCTTCCTGCTTTCTGAGCCTTCCAAACTGTTCCAACCTCTGCCTGTTATCCAGTTCCAAATTCGCTTCCATATTTTCAAGTATCCTTATAGCAGCACCACATTCTCTGCAGGTACCAATTTACTGTATTAGTCTGTTCTCATGCTGCTAATAAAGACATGCTCAAGACTGGGTAATTTATAAAGGAAAGAAGTTTAATTGACTCACAATTCCTCAGGGCTGGGGAGGCCTCAGGAAACTCACAATTATGGTGAAAGGGGAAGCAAACATGTCTTCCATATGATGACAGGAAGGAGAAGTCCTGAGCAAAAGGGGGAAAAGCCCCTTATAAAACCATCAGAACTCATGAGAACTCACTCACTATCATGAGAGCAGCATGAGGGTAACTGCCCCCATTATTCTATTACCTTCAGCTGGTCCCTCCCATGACACATGGGGATTATGGGAACTACAATTTAAGATGAGATTTGGGCAGGGACACAGCCAAACCATATCACATGTCACCGCCCTAAACAAGATATGCTTCTTGTTTTGCTTCAACTCTTGCAAATAACCTCTAACAGGCTCTTATTTTTATTCTTCACATTTTTTTCTAGATGATGTTTCCTTATACATGCCTCTGATCATGTTGCTTTCATGCCCACATTTCCCAGAAAAAAATCTAATTCCTTTGACCTTGATTTGACTCCCTACTTCCCAGGCTTATCTCCCACTGCACTATCCCTTCCCTCTGCACCCAGAGACTCCCTCCATTCACACCTTGCTCCTAATTGTTCCCTGATACTTCCTTGGCCTAGTGTTTCTCAACTTGGGCTGCCCTTAGAATAAGCTATGGAGTTTTTAAAAATCCTGATGCCTGCCAGGTGCAATGGCTCACACCTATAATCCCAGCACTTTGGGAGACCAAGGCAGGAAGATCACTTGACCCTATGAGTTTGAGACCAGCCTAAACAACATGGTGAAACCTTCATCTCCAGAAAGAAAATACAAAAATTAGGCATAGTGGTGTGCACCTGTAGTCCCAGTTACTCTGGAGACTGAGGTGGGAGGATCGCTTGAACCTGGGAGGCTGAAGCTGCAGTGAGCCAATATTGGGCCACTGCATTCCACAGCAAGACTCTATCTAAAAAAAAAAAAAAAAAAAAAGAAAAAATCCTGATGCCCAGGCCCTACTCCTGAACAGCTGAGTCAGGATCTCAAGGAGGGGGAACCCAGACAACTCTATTTCAAAGCTCTCCAAGCGATTTCAATAAGCAGACAAGGTTGAGGATCACCTCACCTAAAATGTCCTCTTGTCTCTCAGCTGGCCTGAATCCAACCCATTCCCCAAAGCCCAGCTGCAGTATTCTCTCTCCATGAAGCCCTCCCATGCTCCTATACTCACACAATACTTTCTACATGGGTCCTATTTTTTTTTTATCATATCCTGCTTTGAATTATATTTATTTATGTAACTGCTGGTCTCTCCTACTAAATCAGGAATTAGCAAACATTTTCTGTGAAGGGCTAGAGAGTAAATATTTTAGGCATTGCATGACATACAGTCTCTGTCATGATTACTAGATTCTGCCTTTGTAGTGTGAAAACAGTCATAGATAACATGTAAATGAGTGAGTGTGGCTGTGTTCTAATAAATCTCCATTTACAAAAACAAGTGGTGAGCTAGATTTGGCCTGAAAGTTGCCATTTGCTGACTCCTGCATGAGATTAATAAAGCTTCTTGGGGGCAGGGAACTTTTCTTCTCTATAAAGCTTTCTTTCCTTCCTTCCTTTCTCCCTCCTTCCATCCCTTCCTTCCTTCTTTCTTTCATTTCTTCCTTTTCTTTTCCATCCCTCTTTCTTTATCTCTCCCTTCTTTCCTTCCCTTCCCTCCCTCCCTCCTTCTCTTCCTCTTCCTTCCTTCCTTTTTCTTTCTTTGTCTTTATTTTTCTTTCTTTCTCTTTCTTTTTTCTATCTCCCTCTCTTCTTTCTCTTTTTCTTTTCTTTCCTCTTCTCCCACTCCACTGTCTCCTTTCTCTCTTTTCTTTCTTTCTTTCTTCTTTCTTTTCTTTTTCTTTCTTTCTTTTTCTTTCTTTTTTCTTTCTTCTTTCCCTCTTTCTTTCTCTCTTTTCTTTCTCTCTGTCTCCCTCCCTCTCCCTCTTTTCCTCTTTCTTTCTTTCTTTCTCTCTCTGTCTTGCCATCCCTCTTGTCTATTTCAGTGTTTGAACCAGAGAAAACCACAAAATTCCCTTTGTAGAGCTCTATGTGATCAGTTTCTCACAACCAGAGCCCTAGAGCATGAATAGCCAAAGTGAAGCGGGAAGTGTCAGGGTTAATTCTGCCTTTTAGGCAACTATTAGTATTTACCTTACTTGTCATACCCAGTAGGACCATCAAATAAGCAACTGCCATTTGTGGTGCACCGATTAGCAACAGCAACTAATGTTGACTTAATTCACCATTATTAAAAATGATGCCCACTCCAGACAAGAAGTAAAGGCATCATGACTCTCTGGCCTGTAGTCAAAGGCAGGGTCGCATTCTGAGAGCTCCTTAATGTACATCACTGTGAGTACTCGAACTTGTCATGGAGGTCATATTAATTAGGAAACATGTTGGGAAATATCATGGAAAGAAAAAAATAAACTGTCTTGCTAACCATCTCCAAATATTGCTTATTTAAAATAAAACTATTCTTATACTCTCACACTCATCTCAGCCTGAGATGGACCTTGTGTATCTTAATTCACTTTTCTTCTTCCTACTCCAAAATGTATATCAAGTAATAATAAGAAAAATGCTGTGTACAAACTACTGGTTTGGAATACATAGCCAGAGCAATAATAATACAAAAATAAATGAGAGATATGAATAAGGAAAAGAAAGAGACAATACTCAGTGACCACATGATTATCTGTATATGTGATGTCAGAACACCTGAAAATAGTGGGGACTCACAAAATCATGTGGTCCTGCTCTTTCTTTGGAGAAAGTCAATCTATTAGAACCTAAGTTACAGCAGAGGCTAAGTCTGGCTTGTGAAGAAATGGAATAGACCAGCTGGCTTTATCTTTGACCACCAAACACTTGTCCTGGGCCCCTTGAGGTGTAGTTTCCTGATTTCTCATCACTTCAGGGCAAGGAGCCATTCTCTGCAAAGTTTGCAAAAGAAAAACTGTTGAGATTGCAGGGATTTGGCATTTCCAAGGAAGCCTTAAATTAACAAGACAGGAACCAAGATGTGAAACCCTATGTACAGGACCGAGGATACCACCATCCCAGAATATTGAAGGTCCAACAGAGACCAGCCTATGGCTGCTCTTAGAATTAGAGGGCCAAAGGCAGGGCTGAAGCTGAGCATCTCCACAATTATCCTTCAGGGTTCTCAGGAGGATGAGAGTGTTAAGGAAGACAAACTCAGGTCAGTAGAGGAAGGACTGTGAGCTTCCCACAGATACCAAGGTGATGACCCTGAATAAAGAATAAAGGAACGAACAAGCCAGAACAGTGGGGTCCCATAGGGTCCTGCCATGGCTGACAGGTCTTGTCATTCTGGAATAGTTCTGGTTGGATTTGGCTCATCCTGATTACAAACTCTGTAGTCACAGGAAGGTGAGGGTCTTGATCAGAAGGGAGCAGTCTCAGGTCCCAGGAGGATTGAGTTCCAGGACTAGTCAGGTGTCAAGGTGAGGAATTTCAGGGAGGAATTAGAAAACCACACACCCACACTAGACTAGAGAAAGATATAAAAGCTCTTACTTCTGCCAACCCACATCTCCCCTTCCCCACACTGCCGCTACCACACTATCCCATCCCCACTCCTGCCACCCCATCCTCACCCCTCCTGTGACTTTGGGAAGCCCAGGAAGAGCTGTCAGGTTGAGGTGACTGTCATTTTGGCCTGGAGGGTCTCTTGGAAAGGAGAGTCTTGGTCTAGTGGGGGCAGCCCCAGCTGTGCAAAGTGGAGCCCCAGAAACTGACTTGAATCAAGGTGAGGACCCTGAGTGACATAAGGGAATGGCTATGAGCAAAAAATAAAAACTAAAATTAAAAAATGCTTAATCCTATCAGGAATAGCAAACACCTCAGCTGAGGATTGCCTTATTCCTGCTTAGATGCTCTAAGGAGGATAGTCACTCTGTCTAAAGGCAGAAGCACAGTTCAGCTGAGGGAGAAGAACTGAACACTAACTGGAGTCCCGGAGAGGATACTGAGTACAGCAGAAAGGACTTCTATGCAAAAAGGGTCCCCGAGCAGACCCCGCAGGGCCTCGGCCGGATGTGACTCACTCCGACTTCCGCCTGCCGGGGAAGCTGCCGGAAGGTGAGGATCTTCGTCTGAGGGACGCCAACTCAGGCTACTGGAAACCCAGGACTGGTCAGGTGTTAAGGTGAGGACCCTGATATCAGACTGAAGGGCCCACTCGCATGCAGCCAAGGCGACCCCACTGTGTCCCCAAACTCCCGCTTCTGGGCACTTACCTCCCTTAGCCACGGGAAGCTCAAGTCAAGCTGTGGCGCTGACTTCTGAGAGGGCATGGGGGGAGGGAGGGCTTGGTGTCAGGGTGAGGCCCCGATTCTGCAGAGGGATGGACACCTAGGCTCTAATCGTAAGGAGGTCCCTGATGCTGATAAGGGGACCTCTCCCGAACACGGGAGGCACACAAGACCGCGTGGTAGCTGACACCTGTGATCCCAGTGCTTTGGGAGGCTGAGGCGGGAGGATGGCTTGACCTAGCGGTTTCAGACCAGCCTGAGCTACAAAGCGAGACTCGCTCTCTCCAGGAAAGAAAAGAACAAAAACTAGCAAGGCATGGTGGCCAGCGCCTGGTGGTCCCAGCAACTTGGGAGGCTGAGGCGGGAGGCTCACCTGAGCCCAGCAGGTCGAAGCTGCAGTGAGCGATGGTCACGCCATAAGCGTGGCGACAGAGTGAGACCCCGTGTCTGTCACAACGAAAAGAAAAGTAAGGTAGCCAGAGAGCCAGGTTTCTGCTGCCCTGTCGTCAACTCTAGGAGACCCCGTGCAGGCATAGCCAGACGGGGCATGCCCTGACTTTTCCCTTTAGCAACTTTAATACCTGAGAGCCTGGGCCTGGGCCTGGCTGATTGAGGTCTGTAGAGTGACCTGAGTCACGTGTCCCAAAGAGTTGGAGGTCCCATCCTGAGCCAAGTTCAGAACCCTGAGGTAGAACAGTGGGGTCTCCTACAGTCCCACTCCTGCTGTCACACCCTGAAGGCTCTAAACAGCCTTGAGAGGATGCAGCTTACCTTGAAAGTCCAAATCTGAGGTCTCATTGAAGTAAGGACCTTGCTGTGAAGGGTGTGGCCTGTGGTGAGGTGAGGATGGAGTCCCAGGACTGGTCAAGTAGCAAGGCGTGTGGTAGCTAGCCTGTAGTCCCAGCTACTTGGGAGGCTGAGGCAGGGGGACCACCTGAACCCGGCAGGTGGAGTTTGCAGTGAGCCAAGATTGCACCACTGCACTCCAGCCTGGTGACTGAGCAAGACTCCATCTCAAATAAATACATTAAAAAAAAAAAAGTTCTGCATGAGGAGGGAGGAAACAACCACTCCAAAACACAGGAGACCACATAAAGTCCCAGCTCTGCTGTGTGCCCTGGAAAACCATGGGCAGAGTCATTAGCATTTGGTGACCCCTTGTGTCCTGAAGGGGTGGGGTGGTGACTCAGAGAAGTGGCTCTTTTGCACCAATGGGCGAGGCCCCATTCATGGTGGGGTGGGGAGGAGGAATTAGTACCTGCTGAGAGTCAAGGGGAGAACACTGAATGAGAAGAGGGAGCCCCTCCCAGGGAGAAGTAGGCCACATAGAGCACCACCCCTACCTTGACCCCTGGGAGACCCAGGCGCATTGGCATGGTGAGTGGCATTTCTCCCCAGGGCATCTTGGGAATGTGAAGAGCCTGCGTAAAAGGGACAGCCTCAAGACAGCTGCTGGAGGTTGTTAAGCTCTTGCCAAGAGTCAAGGTGAGGACCCTGAGCACTGAGGGGACTACCCAGGTGTAACTGTGGGGCCAACACAGAAAATCTCCACTGTTTCCAGTCTTGGGAAATGATGAGCATTTGTGGCCAGCTGAGGTGACCGTCACTACTTCCTAGAGGTATTACACAATGGAGGGGCTGGTATGAGGGACTAAGTCTCAGCTTAACACAGCAGTGTTTTCCAGGTAGTGACGGGAGTCAGGGTTAAGATTCTGAGTGAGGGCTGAGGAGAGCACTCACTGGGATCCAGGGGCACCACAAAGTCTGGCTTCCCTCTCAGGCCTGGGAAAGGGAATCGGATAGAGGGCCCCCCACTTCTAGCCCCTGGGTTTGCACGGTTGAGGCTGGAGGAGTCTGGTGGGCTGAGGGACATGTCCCATATCCTGCCTAAGTGAAGACTAACAGGGCCACCGAACCCAGAATATCAGAGGCTCTGAGAGTCCAGACTTGGCTATCAGTCCAGAAAGACAATGAACAGGAGTGGCTGGAGGGGACTCATGCTTTCTTTCTCTCAGCAAGGTGAGAGCCCTGACCTGAAAGGAGGGGCCTCTGACAGTGAAGACCCCTTTTTTTTTTTTTTAAGTTTGTCCAACTTTATTGAAACCTGTTATATAGAAGGCAATTCAAATAAAACCACTGTCTCCTGTAGAAATATGAGTTAAGTTTTACTACAAAAGAATATAAAATACATTAGCTTAAACTACAATATAAACAAATTTTTTAAATGAACAGTGTATCCTCATTAAATGTTTGCAAAGTTTCTTCCTAAGCACTTTCAGATTTCTACTCACTGTAACATGACAGATGTTCACACTAAGGTACTTCAGCCCCAACTTTCACAAACTATTGGAAGTTAGAGAGTACTCTGTTGCTAAGTGAAAAAAATTTGCGTTTTTTCATATCGGGGAAAATTATACTAGACTAACAGTTTTAAATGAATAACTCACATGTATTAGAGAAAAATCACCTCTTGCCTTACAAATACAAAATAAATTCCCTAGACTCCCCTTCTCTGTAGAGACCATCAGCTCACTATGAAGACCCTGAGGAGTGTGGAGCCACCTGCCCCAAATTATCAAGAGCACCTCAGGATCCCTCCCTGTGTCAGCGGTTTGAGGCCCCAGACAGGGACGCCAAGTCCAGGTGGCCTGTTTCCCCTCAGAGGAAACAGAGAGTGAGGATTTTGGTCCCAGGCAGGGCTGGCAGGCTGCAGGACAAGGAACACTGTGACTTCTTTCCCAGGGTCCCCAGGGGATAGGCTGACTTGGAGAGCAGGAGCCAGCTGGGGCTGTGGAGCAGGGTCCTCAAGGACACCTGTGTAGGGGCCTCCTTATAGCCAAGGTGGTACCTCCCTGCTGAGGGGCTCACAACTTTTGGTCCTCTTGCTCCAGGTGCCTGCCTCCTGTGCCCTCTTGCCTGCTGCCCCTGAGCACAGTCATCATGCCTCGCGGTCAGGAGAGTAAGCGTCGTGCCCGTCAGAAACGTTGCCAGGCTCGAGGTGAAGACCGATGTCTCAGGGGTGCTCAAGCCACCGCAGCAGAGGAGGAAAGTCTGCCATCCTCCTCCTTTCCTGTATGCCAGAGTGCTTCCCAGAGCTCCCCCGCTGCGGGCATTTCTCAGGAGTCCCAGAAAGCTAGAAACCCCAGCTCTCCAGCTGCAGCTGTTTCACTCATAAGTTGTGATGAAGGTGCCAAGGGCCAAAAGGGGGAAAGTCCCAACTCCTCCCAAGGCCCGTCCTTCTCTGAGAGCTCAGGAGATCTTCTGAATGTGAAGACAGGCCAACTGGTGCAGTTCCTGCTCAACAAGTATATAAGGAAAGAGCCCATTACGAGGGAAGCCATGCTGAAGGTTATCAACAGAAAGTACAAACAGCACTTCCCTGAGATCCTCCGGAGAAGTGCCGAGAACATGGAGATGGTCTTTGGCCTCGAATTGAAGGAAATGGATCCCAGACATCAGTTCTATATGCTTTTCAGCAAGCTGGACTTTCCCAATCAAGAGAGTCTGAGCGATGGCAGGGACTTTCCCAAGAGCGGGCTCCTGATGGTTCTCCTGAGCATGATCTTCATGCATGGCAACCGTGCCACTGAGGAAGAGATGTGGGAATGCCTGGGTGCACTGGGAATGCATAAAGGTAGGAAGCACTTCATCTTTGGGGAGCCCCAGGAGCTTGTCACCAAAGATTTGGTGCAAGAGGGGTACCTCGAGTACCGGCAGGTGCCCGGCAGTGATCCTCCATGCTGCGAGTTCCTGTGGGGTCCCAGGGCCCATACTGAAACCAGCAAAATGAAAGTTCTGGAGTTTGTAGCCAAGCTCAATGATACCGTTGCCAGTACCTACCAGTCCCAGTATGAGGAGGCTCTGAGAGATGAGGAAGAGCGAGCCAGAGCCAGAGCGGCAGCCAGAGCAGCAACCAGGGCCAGATCTAGCAGGTCCTCCCAGCCCTAGGGAAGTCTCAGGCAGTCCTCACTAAGAGACTGAAAAGGGCTGTCCACCATCTCAGTATTTGAGGGCAAGATGGGGCTAGAGAGAGCCCAAGGCATGTTTCTTTCTGGTGTTCTGGTTATTTGCAAGCTACTTGTAGATTCCTCTTTCTCTTCTGTGTCTACCATATGTTCCTTTGAAAGAGATTGACTGATATAACATCTAAGTTCATGAATTAGGTGCCTCACACAATGGTTGCTGTTTATCACATTAAAGAGTGATGCTCTTACATTATGTAAAACAAATTGGAAATTTTTACTTATTAGATTGTGATCTAGTGCCAGAAGAAATAGCATTGGAATAAGGATTGGCTTTAAACTGTGAAAAAACTGAACACTGAATCAGTTGGGATCACAAGATGGTGGGAAAAAAATGTCAATTGATTGGCAACCTTTGACATTTTAAAATCTTATTTCTTTAAGTATTTTGTTGTGATCAGATGAAAAGCTATATACTCACAGTTGCTATGTGTATTCAAGAATATTGGAGAAATTAAATCCTCATAAAGGAGAACACTTGTTCGCTGGCTCTTTTGTTCCTTATACTAGGCTGCTCTTGTGTTGCTCTAAAGGCATACCTGAGATGGGGTAATTTCTAAAGAAAAGAAGTTGACTTGGCTCACGGTTCACCAGGCTGTACAGGCATGGCACCAGCAACTGCTTCTGGGGAGGCCTTGGGGAGCTTTTCCTCATGCCAGGAGGGGAAGAGGGTACAGGCATGTCACATGGCAACAGTGGGAGGAAGGCAGCCAAGAAGAGTGGGGGTGGGAGGTGTCACATGCTTCAAATGACCAGATCTTGTGAGAGGTCACTCACTATGGCCAGGGCAGCATGATGCCATGAGGGACCCTCCTTGATGGTCCAAATGCCTCCCACTAGGCCCTACCTTCAACACTGGGTATTACATCTCAACATGACATTTGGAGGGGACAAACATCCAAGTTATGTCATTCACCAAACATGAATTGAACATCTGCTCTTTGACAGTCTTCATGCTAGTTCTGGGAAAGCCCCAGCCCCTGCCAATGATATTTCAGAATCCAAGAGGAGCTCTCCTATTAGGAACACAGTGGAGTGGAGGGTGGGGTAGGGGAAATACACTGAAATACCTAAGGGGCAATCAAGGGACTGGAGAGGAGGGAGGAGATTCAAGATAGGATCCTCCCCCCATCACCTCCTCCCCCACTATAAATGCCCTGGGACAGGGCAGGCTGGGAACTTGGGACACTGCCAATTCCTCAGTAAGCGGGCATTTCAAGTTAGCCTGCACTGGGGCTAGATGAGGCTATTGCTGAAATGGCAAGCAGAGACCAGACCCTCAGGTGGTGGGTTTCAGAGTGGACAGACTAGGACTGCAAGGGAAAAGTGGTCCCACCAGTTCCTTAGGGATGAGGTAGACCAGAGGTGCATCCCCACCAGGGACAGGATTGGAAGGACTCCTGTTCTGTGTCCCCATGCCAGTGAGCACAGTGTACTATATAGGTGGTTTGCCCTCTGTGTCAGGTTGTTTCTGAGAATGAGGGTGATGCCCCTTCAGGTAGGATGTCCAGCAGCCACTGACCTGGTCTGTTTGTCCCTGGCCTGGGGGAGCCAGATTACTCCATTAAAAGGGAGTGGAAATGAGGTGAACTACATAGGATGGCCAGTTCTTACCATGGTCCAGAGTTTTGGTGGCGGTGAATGAAACTAGGGATAGTTTCAATGCAAGGTCAGCTGGGAGGGAGGAAAGATGTCTGTCCTCTGCACACCTTCTAGGGTCTTCATGGTGCATCTGACTGGGGAAGTCTTCACACCCCATTGAAATGACTGATCCTCTCATGGGAATGATTACTCAGTTGGATTTCGCAAGCAGCATTTTGGCTGATTTGGTTTTCTTTGTCATAGAAGACTGCATACTCTTTGACACTTCCTAGGTTTAAAAAAAAAAAAAAAAGACGAGGAAGAAAGAAAGAGAAAAAGAAAAAAGAAAATATCAATGTGGTGCATGGTATTTTCTGGGGTCCGAATAGTCAAGGTAAGTAACTGCCATTTAGAAACTCTCCATACTTTCCAGACAGTGTCCTGGGTTCACAGTATCCATTTTATAGACCCCCTCAGTCCAAGAGGATAGGCCTTATCAAACCTTCTTCACAGAGAAAGAACCTGAGGCTCCTAAAAGCTGCCAATATGCCTGAGTCCATAGTGCTGGTAACTGGCAGGGAAGTGGCGGTGCCAGGATCTGAATCTGTCTAAAACTCACATGACCCCACACCTGCCATCCTGAGGCAGGTCTTGTGTGTTATAACTCACATTTCCTTTTGCTACTTCAACATATATCTTGGGATATCAGAAGAGGACTTTTCACAAAGCACTGACTGGGAATACATGACCAGAGCAATTCAAGTATCAAACAAAAAAGTGGAGTGGGATGGGGTAAGAACAAAGAAAAAAGAAAATAGTTGGTGACAATGATTACCTCTATTTGTATGCAATGTCAGATCATCTCAAAAGATCAGGGGCACACAGGAAGATCTTGCTCTGCCCGTTGCCTGTAGAAAGTCAAAGAACTAGAAACAATGTTCCATCAGAAGCTGTGTCTGACTGCTGAAGGGAAGGAAAAGAGTAGATGGCACCATCTCTGACAGCCTACCCCCTGTCCTGGGTCCCCTGCCCAAGTGGCAAACAGTCTCACCCTTGCTGATAACCTCAGAGGCCCCATACAGCCTTACCTGGATGTTGCTCACCCTGACGTTTCAGGAAGGTAATGACCTTGGTGGAAGGGCCGTGGAATCAGGAAAATGAAGAATGGAGAACCAGGACTTGTCAGTGTCTAGATGAGGACCCTGAATGTGGACTGAAGGGACCACTCCGCCCATTATCCAAAAGATCTCTGTTCCCCAGTGCTCCGCCCCTGTACTCAGCCCTGGGAGGATGGACTGAACTGCAGGCTGCCTTCTGCCTGGCAGATCTCAGGGAGGGGAGGACCTTGGTCTAAGGAGTGCTACAGAGAGAAGAGACTTGGAGTCCAGGTGAGGAAGCCAAGTGTACCGTTTGGACCCCTGTTCAAATGGTGGAGGCTGGCAGGGCTCCAACCCTGTTATCAGGACTTGGAGATCGAGACAGGGGTAGCCAGGGTATCATAAGCTTCCAATTCCCCTTCTAAGGGGGTAAGGATGTGATGGCCTTGTGGGGAGGCTTTTAGATTCAGGTCAGTAAGGAGACCTCTGACAAGCCCAAGATAGAGCATGTCAGCTCCAGGGCTGTCAGCACTGAATGCCCCCTGGCAGGGTTGGTGGCTGAGATGCCCCTTCTCTTTCTTGCAGAGGATTCCAGGAATGTGAGGGCCAACTTTGAGATGTCAACTTCAGCACAGTGGAGAGAAGGGGCTCAGGCCCTGTCGCCAGCTGATATGATGGCACTGAATGTGAACTAAGAGGTCCGCCGCCACCCCAGAAGAGCAAGTCCACACTACCAGCTCTTGCCATCACTCCAGGAAATCCCAGGCAGGCCTGGCAGGCTGTAGGACAAAGTACACTCTAACTTCCTCCACGCAGTCCTCGGGACAGACTAACTGAGAGAATAGGAATCCCACAGGGTCCGAGAGCAGCACCCACAAAGATACCTGCACAGGGGCCTTCTGAAAGCCAAGGTGACACTTCCCTGCCGAGGGGTTCACAAACTTTCTGTTCCTACTCCTCCACATGGCTGCATCACATGCCCTCCTGTGGTTGACCGGCCTGCTGTCCCTGAGCACAGTATATCAAGACTGCTGTTCAGAAGAGTCGATTGGAGCCCTAAGTGGAGTCTGGATGAAGACCCTGAGTGCTTTGGAGAGGAATTCTCCCCAAAAGAGTTCACTGAGCCAACCCCTGCCCTGCTCTCAGCCCTGGGAGACCCCTAATGGCCTCAGCTGGATTTGGCTCACTCTGATTCCCACCTTGGAAGTTTCTGGGACCAGAGGATCTGGGTCTAAGGGATGCTGCCTCAGGCTACCAGAATCCCAATGAGACTGGAGAATAATGTCTGGAGGCAGGGAACCTAAGGCCATTCACACTGACTTTCTAAAACTAAATCAGAAGGGAAACCCCAACTTTCCACTTTTGTCCTAAGTAACAAAAAGACCAGAGGCTACTCCCTTTGCAAACCACCCTCCCATTTCTGCTTTCCCTAACTTTGTATGCAACTCCCATTCAAAGTTGCATAGGAGTGCAACTTTGTAACTTTAGCCTCTGATTGCTTGCTTCCTGCAACCAATCAGACATTTGCATAGGAATGTAAACTTTGTAACTTCACTTCAGCCTCTGATTGCTTGCTTTCTGCAACCTCATTTGCATGGGGTGAACACCAAGAAACCAATGGGAAACCTTTAGATTAGGGAAACCTTTAGGGGGTATTTGGACCCCAGAAGATTCTGTAACAGGGCCTCAAGCCGCTGCTTGGGTCACTCCCACCCTGTGGAGTGTACTTTCATTTTCAATAAATCTCTGCTTTCATTGCCTCATTCTCTCCTTGCTTGCTGTGGGTTTTATCCAATTCCTTGTTCAAAAGGCCAAGAACCTGGACAGCTTGCGTTCAAGACCCTCTACCTGTAACACCAGGACTGGTTGGGTATCAAGGTCAAGACCCTGATTGTGGACTGAAGGACCCACCTGCACACAGCCAAGGCAGTTGCATGAGCTGCCCACCCCAACCCCTCTGCCCCTGCCCCTTGCCGCCTCAGCCCTGTCCCAGCTGTGGCTTTGACTTCCGCCTGGAGTTTTCCAGGGAGGAGAGGGCTTGGTTTTAGAGTGAGGACCTGATTCTGCAGAGAGACAGACGCCTAGGTCCTAATCGAAGCAAGGACCCTGTTGCTGATGAGGGGACCTCTCTCAAACACAAGGGGCTCACAAGGTGGGGTGCGGTGGCTCACAACTGTGATCCCAGCACTTTGGAAAGCTGAGGAAAGAAGTTTGCTTGAGTCCAGCAGTTGGAAAGCAGCCTGGGCAA